CCGACGACCCGGAGGCCGCGAGGTGCCCGGTGCGGAGGGCGGGCTCGCGGGGAGGCCGAGCAGGGCGCCGCCCCCACGGGCGGAGCCGCGGTTCCCCGACCTCCCGGCACGTCCCAGTCCCCGCCCCGGGCTCGCGCGAAGGATGGCAGACCCTTAGTTAACCCTTTAACGTCAAGGGCTTGTGGCCGAAAATCAGCCGTTTGAAAACCGTGTCCACCATCAGGCCGTACCCGCTGAAGTCCATCTTACGTATTCACAACTTAAGGATGAATTAACCAGAACTTGACGAACACAAGGTCTGCACCCAACGTTAGGGGCACCCTTTCCTTTATTTTAAAGGACCAGCGGAAAAGGTCATTTGAAATAAAAAGTCAAAGTGATTTTTAAGTCATTTCAAAGTGAATTTATCAAACACATGAGATAAAACAGGCACCTAGTATTTATACTTAAAGGGACCATTAAAAACAGTGAGTTTTCCATCCTAATGCCTTATTCAAATTAAAAATTACTTTGCATTTGATTGAAAGATTTCTGCCTTTAACTTTAACAATGATTACTGAATCTATTTTTAAATGAAAATTATATTTCATTGATGAGTATCATAAATATTTAAAACAAAACAATCATGTCAAGATACTGTTGAAAAGCACTTACATATTCAGATTTCCAAGCATTCTCTTTTAACAAGTTCTAATATGATTTTTAGTAGCTATAATTCTCCATTCTCTTTCATGAGTTGTAAAGCCAAGATTTGAAGGGCAAAAACAGAGGGAACAGAAACTACAACCATCTCAATGAAAATCAGTAGATGACCTACCATTCTAAAGCAAGCAACAACAACATATTAATTAGTAGTTTTCAATATAACAGAATAACATTCCATTTGGATCACCAATCAAAAGGGGCTCAATTATTAAAACAATAAAAAAATTGTTACAGAAATAAATCCCCAGATTGCACCAAACCAGGAGCATTAGAGCAAGGCTCCAGTTTTCACCAATATCTTGCTACTTAAGTCCTTACTCAGAATTGGGTAGGAGTACAAGTCTGGATCAGCAGAAACTATGGACAACTTGGTATTATTTACTGAGAACTTAATAATATATACACCAATTTTCATACCAAGTATTATCATTCCCACTTTACAATTCAAACAAGAGGACATAGGAAGTAGCTAAGGAACTCAAAGAGAAATACTGTAACTGGGATTTGAATTATAGATTGAAATGTCCCTGAACAACTTATGCAGTCCTAAAAAGGTACTCAGAGGTCTGAACAAGGAAGAACTGTAAGTCTTGTTGGGTACTGACCTACCCATGGGATACTGGAGAAGAGCTGTTCAGGAGAAATGGCCTTTTCCAGATACATGGACTTGGGAGTTGATAGCATATGAAGGACCATTGAAGTCTGGGTATGGATGGGATTACCAGAGCCTCCAGAGGATATGAGAAATACTGACAAAGAATGAGCACAGGAAGAACCTCCAATGTAGATGGAAGAATGCCTAGAAATGAGAGAAGAACCAAGGGTAGAAACCGTGGGGAGGGAAAAAATTTCACAAAACAAAAATCAAAAGAAGGAAGGGCCAACAGTATGATCTTCAGCAACGTGGTTTGGATAGTTAGAAGCAAAAATCCTCAACAAAATACTAACAAGACTGATTCAACTCCATATTAAAGGACTATATACCATGACCAAGTGGGATTTATCCCAGGAATGCAAAGATTGTTCAACATTGGAAAGTCAATGCCAAAGGAGAACACATGGTCATTACAATTGATAAAGAAATGGCATCTGACAAAATCCGACACCCCTTTCATGATAGAAATATTCACAAAACTAGAAATTTCTCAACATGATAAAGGATGTTTGTGAAAAGCCCACAGCTAACATCATATTTAATGGTGAAAAAATGAAAGCTTTCCCACCAAAGATCAGCAACAATGATGTCCAATTTCACCATTATTATTCAACACTATACTAAACATTGTAGCCTAATCAATTAAGCAAGAAAATGAAATAAAAGGCATCAATATCAGAAATTCTATCCATAAATGATATGATCCTATAAAACAGAAAATCCCAAAGAATCCACTAGGGGATGGGGGAAAGCCTACTAGAATTAATAAACAAATTCATCAAAGCTGGAGGATACAAGATCAACATTCAAAAAATTAGTATATTTCTATATACCAACAAGGAGCAATCTAAAAAGGAAATCAAGGAAATAATTCTATTTATAATGGCATGTAAAATATCTAAGTATAAATTTTAAAGAAATTAAAAGACAAATAAATAGAAAGGTGTCCTGTGATCATGTTAGAAAAATGTTTAAGAGTCAGTATTACCCAAAGCAATGTACAGATTAAACACAATCCCTATTCAAACTTTTCTGCAGAAATGGTAAGGTCAACCCTCAATTCACATGTGTTTATTGTTCAAAACAGCCAAATAATCTTGAGAAATAAAGAACAAAATGGAAGTACTTACAATTCTTAATTTCAAAACTTACTAAATGCTATAGTAATCAAAATAGTGTGGTGCTGGCATAAGGACAGCCACACAGACTAATGGAATACAATTGAGAATTCAAAAATAAGCCCATATTTCAAGGCCAACTGATTCTTTTTTTAATATTTATTTTTAGTTGTAGTTGGGCACAATATCTTTATTGTACTTATTTATTTACTTTTATGTGGCGCTGAGGATCGAACCCAGGGCCTCACACATGCTAGGCGAGTGTTCTGCCGCTGAGCCACAAGCCTGGACCCCCCAACCGATTCTTGATGATTGTGCCAAGTCCATTCAATAGGAAAAGAACAGTTTCAAATGGGTGCTGGGACAACTGAATTTCCACATGCTAAAAACAAAACAACAAAAAACTAAGCTGGACCCCCACCTCACACCATATATAAAAAATAATTAAAATGGATCAATGACCTCTATGTAAGAGCTAAAGTCATATAGGCATGGTGGTACACACGTGTTAATCGCGACTTTGGAAGTTGAAGCAGGAGAATCACAAGTTTGAGACCAGATTTACTAACTTAGAGAGGCACTAAGCAATTTAGCAAGATCATGTCTTGAAATAAAAAATAAAAAATGGCTGGGGATATAGCTCAGTGGTAAAGTATCTCTGGGTTCAATTTCCAATATCAAAAAAAGAAAAGATCTCAAGTCATAAAAATCTTATAAGAAAATATAGGGGCAAACTTTCACAATGTACAATTTGACTGTGGATTCTTATACATGACACCCAAAGCAAAAACAAACAAAAGCTGATAAATTGGACTTCATCAAAATTAAAGCTTTTGTGCCTCAAAAGAAATTACCAACCAAGTAAAATGTCAACCGAATGGGAAAAAAATTTGCAAATCATGTATCTATCTGATAAGGGTCTAATATCCAGAATATATAAAGGACATTCACTTTAAAATGGGCGAAGGAGCCAGGCACAGTGGTGCTTGCCTATAATCCCAGCAGCTGGCAAAGCTGAGGCAGGAGGATCCCAAGTTCAAAGCCAGCTTTAGCAAAAGTAAGGCACTAAGCAACTCAGTGAGACCCTGTCTCTAAATGAAATACAAAAAGGGGCTGGGGATGTGGGTCAATGGTTAAGTGCTCCAGTACCAAAAAAAAAAAAAAATGGGCAAAGGATTTGAAGGGACATTTCTCCATATAAGATAAACAAATAACCAATAAGCATATAGAATGATGGTCAATATCATCATTAGGGAAATGAAAATCAAAACCATAAGGATAACATGTCAAAATACACTCTACTGTCATGTGTAAAAAAAAGTTAAAAAAAAAAACATAGGGAGATACCATTTCATACCCTTTAGAGTGGATAATCAAAAAGGCTGACAATAAGAAGTGTCGGCGGGGCTGAGACTGTGGCTCAGTGGCAGAGCGCTTGCCTAGCGTTGAGGCCCTGAGTTTGATCCTCAGTATCACATAAAAACAAACAAATAAAATAAAGGTATTATGTCCAACTACAACTAAAAATATTTAAAAAAAAAGAAGTGTTGGCAAAAATTTGGAGAAATTAGAACCCTTAAATATTACCAGTGGGAACAGTAAATGATGTAGCCACTTTGAAATACAGTCTACAGTTCCTCAAGAAGTTAAACATATAGTTACCACATAACCCAGTAACTCTAGGTTCAAGTACATGCCCAAGAAAACTTAAAACATCTATGCACACACAAAAAAATCGTACATAAATGTTCTGACAGCATTATTTTTAATAGCCAAAAAGTACAAACAACCCAAATATCCATCAACTGATATATAAAGAAAACGTGATATTATCCATATAATGGCATAGTATTTGTAAATAAAGGAATGAAGTACTGATACATGCTGTAACATGGATTAATCCTGAAATATTATAGTAAGTAAAATAAGACAGGTATGAAAGGCACATATTATATTATTCTACTTATATGAAAAATTTGAACTAGCAAATCCCCAGAGGGGAAAAAAAAAAGATTAATGATCACAGGGGACCAGGGAAAAGAAAGAACGAGGAGTTACTACTAATGGGCATGGGATTTCTTTTGGGGTAATAAAAATGTCCTGGAATTAGACAGTGGAATTAGCTGTACAATATACTAAATATTCTAAAATTCACTGAATTCAAAAAAGGATAAATTAGGGGCTCAGTGGTAGAGTTCTTGCCTAGCATGTGTGAGCACTGAGTTGGATCAATCCTCAGCACCACGTAAAAATAAATAAAATAAAGGTATTGTGTACATCTACAACTAAAGCATTCTTTTAAAAGGACAAATTACATCTCAATTTTTTTTAAAAAAGATTTCACCTCACTTTTGACTACAAAGGTTATTTTCCCCTCCTATCTTGGTTACTTTGGTAAAAGAAAAATAACCCACGTTTAATTTTTTTTATGTCTCTATTTTATTTGTTTATTTTTATGTGGTGCCAGGGATCGAACCCAGTGCCTCACTCATGCTAGGCAAGAGCTCTACCACTGAGCCACAACCCTGGCCCTTAATTTTTATTTTTTAATTAGGAATAAAAAATTATCAGTCATTTATACTTCTTCATTAGTGATATGTATGTTCATATGTTTTGCCCATTTTTAAACTAGCTCTTCATCATTTTCTTATTGTTTTGTTAAAAAATTCTTTATATTAAAAGGTATGAACCCTCAGCCACTTTGCCTAGTTTGTTATTTGCCTTTTAGTTTAGATTTTTTTACAGGTTTTTCATACTTACCTAATC